TTGGCCGCTTGTAGAAACACAATGATTGTACATGCAGCGAAGCCGTGTAATTAACAACTTTAGGGACGGGGCTACATGATGTGGGGTCGGCGACATTTGCCTCCCCCCCCCCCCAGGCGCGTTATACTGACGTGGTGATTTCAGTTTTTTCTATCTTATTGCCCAATAACTCAATGATTATCTAATCAAACATCAGGTTACTGCATAATTGTGGGCAACAGGTGCAAGTTCAGGGACTGGCCCTTAAGTGCCGCTCCTGGTCTTCCACTTGAACCCAGAATACTATATTCAGAAATTTATAAAGGTTTAAGGTTGGTTACTCAAAAGATAAAAAGAAACTTGAATTGTGTAATTTTGCGTAATGGTGTTGTCACATCCCATAGGTAGTGAAGTTAAATATGCATTATTGCGACATTAATAGATGGTCTCTAGTTTTAGTTTTGAATCGAGTGAAGGATTTGTTTGTTAAACCTAAGTGAACCTGTCAGTTCTCCGAAACGAATCAATAGAATTTAAAAAGCAAAGCAGATTAGTAATCACGATTAAATTGCCTTTCAAATAATGTGCCATTTGCCATAGGATTCCATTTAAAATTTTAGGGTTTAAGCTCCCTACAGAGGGATGAAGACTTGGGTTCGTGATTTGTATTCAAAAAGTTGTCCCCCTCGAATACAAAATTGACGTGTTCGAGGATTTTTCGAAATTTCTAAATTTAATACCCTAAAAGCCCTCTGTATACTTCTCGTTGGGCCACTCTGTATAACTGCACCGACACCAGCATTCCAGTTCTACGGCACCTTCAAGATAGACATAGATATAAAATGACGTGTTAGTACCTTGTGCTGCTTCTCTAACAGAATTAATAACAATATTTAATTTAAATCCGATCCGATATAAGAGAGCATAGTGTAAGAATTAGCTAATATCGGAGAGGGTATCGATAGCTTTTAAACACTTAAAGTCGAAGAACGTATAAATTACAGTAATATTTCAACCAATAGTGTGGTCAATAATACAGTGCGCAAATGACAAATAAATGTCAGGTATTGGCAACTGGGCATTTAAAACCACAGTGTGAAGGATGAAGAAGATTAAGTGGAACGTATTTAATCTAACATATTTATCTACATGTGTTGGATAATACTGGAATTCAATACGAGTTTCTTTCATTACATCTGCACTAGTATAGTGAAATTAACGTCACTGCCGAACTAAAATTAGAGATGCAATATCCAATACATGTAAACAAACATTTTACGTGACTAGAAATTGTCGCAGTGATATTTTACAATTGAAAATATGTAATATAAAACTGTTGCACGATTCCCAAAACCCCAATGTTTTATTTCATTGTAAGGGAGTGCTGAAAGCTCATTTACCTAACATTATCCGTTATAAGCGCCGAGTTCTTCTAACGATTTCGAGGCCCCATTTAGTAAGTTGAAGGGAGCTAAGCTTACGGGTTAATAGTTTGCCTTTAATTTGACCGTCGAAAGCAAAAGCCGGTTCGTACGAAATTTGTTGAGAAATTTGACATTAATTACAAGTAACTGCCAGTCGGCGCGAGTTCTACCATAATCTATCAACAAAATTAATTTCTACGATGACTGGGGAAAATCATAGTTTATACCAAAGTGTGTCCAGGTGTAAACGTAGCGTTTTTTTTTCATTTTTTTATATTGCGCAGCCTACCCTCTTTGTGTCTCACCTTCGCAAATGAACGGCGGAAGCGTGGGGCTTCCTTATGATTGGAATTAAGTTACGAGTCTTACAGCTTCCTTCCTTATTTTCAGAGTCGCCAGATTCAACGCTCTACCGCCCTAAACGAAGTTATGACGTACGGCACAGAAGTAAAGAAAATTCCCCGGACAATGCGCTGAAGCATGCTAATGATCGTCCGGGAATATTTGCAACGGACAATAGCACTGTGATTTTAGCGCAAATTGGAGGAACTGCAACTTTACCATGCGTAGTTAGAAAATTCAATACTGGGGTGGTGAGTTTGTCTCTTATCATTGCCATCAATGGCAGAGCATTAACTTTAAGAGTCATTGCAGATATCCTGGATTAGGAAAGACGATCATAGACTATTAACTGTAGGATTAACCACGTATAGCTCCGATGGGCGGTTACTAGTGGAGCACGTTCGGCATCTTCAAAATTGGGGGCTGTTAATTAAACACGTTCAGCCGTCTGACGCGGGGATTTACGAATGTCAAATATCAACACACCCTCCGACCAGTATTTTTGTGATATTAAAAGTTACAGGTACGTAGCTACGTAGCGATACGAACCAGAGAATATTCGTAATTAAATTTCGCATAAAAGTTGACTTATGAGCTTACCCGCCGTGAAAACAAACGGTGAGGGAGGAAGCTTCTGTAGACATTAAGATACTTGATACGATAATGCATGTCTTAATTTAGCGCATTACCATCATGCTCTTAATTATAATTACAGTATCCAAAAAATATTCAAATATACGACCGTACAGACTTCAACTGGAAGGGTGAAATGAGATCAATATAAATGATATTACTTTCAGGCCCTTTGGAACAAAATTTAATTTTGCTAGCAATTAAGTTTGATATATTTCATCCTTCTTAGGGTAATTAGCAGATTATTTCTGTTTATTACTTTAAAAGTACTTGACTATGCCCTAACTTTTTCCTACTTACGTAATAACGTAAAATGTGATAAGACGACAGGCCTTTAACATGTACGTTAATTATAATCTAAACCGGACTTGGCTGTCGTTTACACGAAATTTACTACAAAAAACAGGTCCCTTTTTCTTGAGGATATCTATAATACAATGCGATTAGCACGGGGTGGCAGGTGTAGCATTTTAATGACTTACTAGTCGATATACGCCGTTGGAGGTGTTAGGCTGTTCTAATATTAATTTAATTAATAAACAACCTAAAAAAGGTTGCGAATGTCAAATTATCAAGGTCTGAATAAGGAATTAAAATCAACTCAAAAAGAAGCCGCGATCACATTTTACTTTGTACTTACTGCGAAATTTATGCATGACAAACAGAAAAACACAAGCAACTGTTACTATTATCATAATCAGAAATGGGTCACGATGCCGATCGTTGATTTATAATTCCATCAATAATTCAACTGTAAGGATATTTCCCCATATGAGGAAATCGCTTACAATAAGCTTTAAGGAATTTGTCAGTTTCTGAAAACAGGATCTATGTTTTCGATAGGCATTCTGACCTTGCTCTTACATGAAATCAATTGTTGCTTCTTAGTTACTAAAATACGCGAAGAACTATAAGGCCCACTAAAAGTTTTGTTTTACTTATAATATTGCCGTTTACAATTACAAAAGTAAACCATTACAAGAAGAAAATAAAAGTTACAATATTGCAATAATAACATTCATTAATATATTTTGCGTCGCTTTTTGCCTTACTAATCTTCTAGGATACTTTATATCTAAATCCATTAATTTTCAATTAGTAACACCTTCTATGGTCACTTTTAAGCCTGGTTGTATCACAAAGAATTTCTTTGTTGGGAGAAACTTTTCAACGATTTCCTTTTGACAAATGGTTTCTAACATCCTGTCAGTAAGTGAGATTATAAAAATTGATAAGGGCTGCAATGTCTTCGGAAACGACTCGGCAAGTTACATAGGCCTATCTCGCTAATAAACACGAATATTGAAAAATTACATTTATTACAATTGTAATTAAAACAAAGTTTGCAATAGCTCCAATATGACCGCCGAGCAGAAGTTTTACATATTGTTGCTAATAATTGCAATCATTGAAGAAGTTATTATTAATAGTTACTGAAAGAAAAGGTATCGTATTTGATATTTTAGTTTTCGCCTTTGCCTGATGATCGTTCGCTTAAAAACAAAAATTGTTGGAGCTCATCGCTGGCCTTGGCAACAATTTGGCATTTTAAATTTCGGTTGCTTCGCCCTGTATTTTGTAAGTTCTTAGTGCTTAGAAACCTTTGATTGAAAAGGTATGGTGCTTACAATCTGATGTGGGAATTACGCGAAATATATAGTCTAATAGTGACAACCATTTCTGAAATTCAAGATCTACTGCTCGGGGCTACCTCACATATTGTTGCAATGTGGCTTGATTCCAGTTTTAAAAGAAAATCCAAGTTTGTGGCAACAGTATCAGGCGTGCAAACGTGCCAGGTAAAAATAAAAGGAAACAAAGCCTTTATCAGGACTGTCGCGATATTTCAACCAAAAATATACAGGGTTAGACAAAACTCCCTTTGAACGTTTTTTACATGGAATTGTAAAACCCATTACAAACAAAACTCCCAAGGGGCTTACAGCGGACAGCGACTTTTTAAGATTCGGATTTTTTTATATACGGACATTTTTGAATAGTCTGTATTTTCGAATTTTTTTAACTTTTATTTTTTTTTCGATCTAATCGCCTAATCTCCTTTCTTACACAGGGCGACTAATTAAAAAAAAAGTGTTTAGCGGTAGTTACAAATGCAAATGATTTCCAAAAAATTATGAAAATGTCAATTTTAAGTTCAAGGGGCAAGTCAGTGAAAGTCACTACCATACACTGTGGCCAAGAGAAGGATGTCGATCATGGGGATCTCCGAAGCCGAAGTAAAAAAAATTTTTCTCATTGGCTCTTTTTGAGCTGTACAAGACACCTTTGAATGATTTTCAAATACAACGTTTCGTCTCGGAAAAATCATCATCACCTTTATTTTTTTATTTATTATTAAGGCCCGTAACAAAATGATTGAGTACCATTTTTTATGACGAATACAACCGTATACGGCACACAAAAAAACATAAGTTGGAAACTGTTCGTTTTTAGCTGGATGGTCACCCTATGTATGCGAGAATACATTTTTCCGAATTTTTAGTGAAAATTAGCTAATTGACCGTGTTTATGTGTTAAAGATTCATTCTTCAGAATTTCATATTCTAATAATATTTTTGTGTAAACCAGGGGGGTTGGGGTACCATTTAGGTTGAAATAATAGTGACAATAAGGGTATGCCTTCCTGCGTTGCTAAAGAATGTGCATAAGTAGCGTAATTTTCGATTCAAGTTATGGGAATTGCAAGCGACACACCCTATACCTAACTTTATTCAAAGTGATCAGGAAATCTGGTGGAATTTAGTTTAAAATAGGCAGGCACATAATTGTTAAGTTTTATTTAATTTGGTTGTAATTGTACTTATGTAGTAAAAACGGTTCTATAAATTAGTAGATTGCAATTGTTTTTTTTGTAATTTAAGACGGAGAAATTAAGCAACGTGTACTTATGTAAAAGATGTATTGCGTCTATACGAGAATTATTTAACAGATGCTTGAATAGGGAACTTTATCAAAGTAAAATTTAATTGATTGAGATAAGCGATTATGTGTGATGGCTATCACCTAATATAAAATAATCAAGAGGATCGGTTTGTGAGTGCCAATGAATCACTCCCCCCCCCCCCCCCCTGTACTGTAGATAAAGCCATTTACTTTTTAGTGATAACAATTTGTAGCATCCCCTTGTGACTCAAAAAACAAATTACATAAAACAAGAAAAATTTACGCGTAAACAAAATGATTTAACGTTATGTAGAACCAAATTTCAACGTATAAAGGGGAACTCTATGCATTTCAGGCAACATGTTTTCACAACGACCCTAACATTCCATATTAAACACGATTCAAATAAAATGGAATCAATATTTCACTGAAATTAAATTTTAGGCCATAATGATGAAAAATAATTCCGTAAAAATGTCCAACTACAACGCTTTGACCGTCGTTAAAGCCATGTCATTGATGTTAAACGAAAATTCAGAATATGCAAAGTTTCTTCCTCCGGCTAATTTATGCGATATTCAAATATGAGCATGGCTCTCATAAATTTTACTAGGAAATTGGCCGAGTAAATATATGAGGATGGAAAATCTTGAGCGTCGCATAGCTGAAAATATTATTAATTTTGTAAGCTATTTGGCATGTATAAAATTGGCTACATCTTGTCCAGAGGATATTACTCAACCGTTAGCTGAAACTGTGTTCATCAACATCTGCGACCCTTATCAAGTGATTAATTACCTCCACCTAACGCCGCTTTCCCCGAAAAGTGGCCCGTTCTAATAACAATTGCGAAATATAATAAATCGAAAATAATGACGTAATTGTTCCGATAAAACGGTACGTAAGGGCCACATTGTAATGTCTTTTACTATGTGTGCCTTCCTTACCTTTCCCAAATTGAGCCCTTGGGTACTATTTTGCATTTGTGGGTTTTGGAAAATACTCGCTGCGAATAACAAATTTTACTTAACAACCTCTAAATATAAATTGAAATCCGCATTTGGGTCTAATAGACATTTAAATTATACATATAGGAGACCCAAGTTATTATTTACTACCCTTCCTTTTTACATTATTAGTGGATTGCATAATACTTTACTGCCTCTTCTCTTTAATTTGATGTGAAATAATAGCTTTTGTCCGAGTGTGCAGTTCTCATTACAGAACCACTAAAAATTATTCTAGAATATTCTATATATGAGTCATCAGAGCAACTGTTTATAAAACGTAATAGATGCAATTCTGATCGCAATTGTTGAGACGGATTCAGAGATCGGACAGCAACAAAGGCGATAAAGTAGTCTTGAGTCCAGTACAACCGTAACGAGTTCAAACCGTGAAATCTTTAAAGGGCGGCATCGTCTAGGGGTGAAAAATGGTCGTTTACTTATAATTTCGTTGTAAAATATTAATAGAAATTGTATCATGCACTCTTATTATTATCATTTAAGAACACATTCCGATCGATCCGTACTTTTGCGGATCTAAAATAAAGCGACAGAGCACCACGGTGGGACCCTACAGGGTCTATGGATTTAACCCATTTTCTATAGGATTCTTACATATGGTATATAGGGCAACTGTTTTAACCAGGGTTTGAACCGAATCGGTCCAAGCGTTTGGCAGTTATCGTGTTCACGAACAGACATACACCATCGATTCCCCTATAAAGTTTCCATCGCTTTGCTCTGGTTGTTGAAGTGTTCGCCGTGCTTAATATAGAATAAAAATCCATAGTTATAGAGATTCTCTTGGCAAAATGCAGCTTACTCTATTGGCGAGTTGGATGCTCGACTACGGTTAAGAGGTCCCATACTCAAACCTGGTTTTCAGCATAGACATTATGTAATGTGTATTGGGTCGGGTTGGTAGAGAGAGAACTCAAATAAAACTCCGCCTATTTAAAATAAAAACAAATGGAACACC